GGGGGGGGAGGAAACAGAAAAGTGTATCAAAGACGAAGGTAGATAAGGTGGGATGAGTACTGTGAAAGTAGTCGAATATGACATACAGTGGGGTCATGGTAGTTTGAAGTCAACTGCCAGGTAATAGACATTTTGCCGTATGAGTATACGTTGCCCAGTGTGCACCACGTGGAGGTAAGTCTATCACACACCCCATTCTTCAATCATAACTTTTGAGAAAAAATTGTTTATCCTATTCTTCACGCTATAATTACCGAAATGTAATTCTCTCTGATAGATTAAATATTATTTTCTAACTGCATTGGTCCCCTATCACCCGTGAATAACTTTAAAAATAGAACTTCCTTAATAAGCAGAGATTTTAAAATTTACCAGATAGTAAATAAACTATCTTTTAAAAAATTGTAAATTAGCGTCAGCTATTCGATTAAAAATAAATAATAATAATTATATTTTTCACTACGCGTAATTTTAACATTGCTTTACTGTAATAATGAGATCCATTTTTTTTACCAACCATTAGCGACATCGTTATTTAATGACAAAGTGCAAAATTATTGGCTATTTTCGTGTAAAATGAAAATTATTCCAGCGGTAATGGCTACCAGTAAGTGAAATGAGCCTGATGAAACGCATTAGCATTGATTAGCGCAACACATAAATTATATTCTTCGAATCCTCATCTAATGTGCATAATGATTAATTTTAAATTAACCATCAAAGCATTACAATTTAATGGTAATCATCTCAATAATATAATAGAAGAATTATATATGAAGGCTATATTAGTAATTTTAACAATCGATATTATTATTTTTTCCGAACATTATTCATCAGTTTTAGGGTGAGGTATAAAATTGGCTTTCATTCAACATCACGTCAACGAGAGTTAACTTAGCGTTTTCAATGAAAACGTCATCAGATCTTTAAAGAATGGAAAATAGTGATTTTCTTATAGGCCAGCGAATACACTGAAGTGACGCAAACCAACACCCCCCCCCACCCCCAAATTTTCTATCAAATATCATTCAACTAAATCGATTTTTCTGACCGTCAGCTCTTAATGCAAATATTTTAGGTGTAGCAGTGTGCAATTTCTGGATTGTCATGGACGTTCTCTTATGTACTGCTTCCGTTCTACACCTCGTGGCCATTGCAATCGATCGTTATTGGGCGGTTACTCGAGCGGATTATAGTCGAAGGAATAACAAGAAAATCATCTTTGGAATGATTTTCGTGGTGTGGCTCACTTCATTATGCATATCTTTGCCTAGTCGATTCTCTTTAACAGAAAACAGTAGACTTGAGAAGGAGGTGGCGAATGAGAAAATCTGTAGCATCAACCCGAATAAGGTATATACCGTGTTCTCAACAGCTGGCGCATTTTTCTTGCCAATGATTTTCCTGGTGTGCATCTACATTAAAATATACTCATCAGCGCGAAAGCGAATTCGAAAACAAAAGTTTAAATGGATGAAATATCATTCTACAGATACTGATAGGATGGGTAACTTTGAATCAACTGCAACCATTACTGATACGGCAACGTTAAGCGGACTTCCGCCTAGCCCTGTGAAGTCGATAGCTAATGGTATTTCCAGTAAAAAGCTGATCTTTTCCATTGAAGCGGAATATTTTCACTACAGCGATAAAGATGCCTATCTCTCAAGTCCTACAATTTGGATCGATGAAGGCGAAGGCAATGATAATGAGGATAATGCCAACTGTGGTCGTTGCCATGCCAGCTCTCTATTGCCGCGGCCCACAGATGGGTCGATAATCCAATCACCGTTCATTCCTCAATCACCTGCTCCAACCCCCAGACGTGCCTTTAACTACATCCCTTTGAATTCGCCAACTCATGCCTCTATTTCAAAACCATCTCAAACACCTCAATTTCTTCCTACCCTGCCGAAAGGAAGCGGTCGAATGATGACTGACAATTCTATGCCGGAAAGAAAACGAAAGCACGCTCTCGATGCAAGCATTGCCTATGCATTTATGTCTGTCAAAAAGCGATTAATGAATAGCCAACTGTCGGAAGTGGCGCTTGAAACGGTATTGGCTAGACGTGAACGGTTGGAAAATAGGCGAGAGCGTAGGGCGGCGCGAACACTGGCCATCATCACAGGTTGCTTTCTTCTCTGCTGGATTCCATTCTCGATAAATGCCCTGATACAGCCATTCTGCGGGGAAGCTTGCGATTTACCGAGTTCAGGTGTGAAATTCTTCCTCTGGCTAGGCTATCTGAATTCCCTGTTAAACCCCATTATCTATACAATCTTTTCACCGGATTACAGGAAAGCCTTTGCCAAGACACTAAGTTGTACATATTGCCGTTTAAAATAATGCAAAAAGGTACACACGCATTCAAAACTTGTATAAAATGAATAAAAGTGAACACTTCACTTATTTTATTGCCTTAACTATTTACGGTCAAAAGTAAGATCAAAATTGTTACTCTAATATTCCATCATAAATTAGATATTCTTTTGAAAAATTAATTTACGAATGGAATTTTAAAGCACTTAATGCCAAAAAACCAATTTAGAGGTACTTCCAAACTCAAGGGAACGTTTTAATGGAGAGTACTTTCCATTCCAATGACATCAGTTTCGTTTCTCCATGGCCCTAATTTTTTGTAGTTTTATGAAGTAAATAAATGAATATAGCTTAAATTTAAGGCTGATTTTAATTGAGGTTAGCAAATTGGCACAACTCAGAAAATGGAATGTTCTGAGTCGAACAGAAGTGCAGTGTTAAAGCCACATTGAAAGTTTGGTGGCGTATCGCTTTCAACAATATTTATTTGAACCATATTTCTGTTGCAATATGTTTAATGCGATTTTGTTGCCAAGGTAGTAGAAATTAATCAATATGCGAATATTGCATTCAAATTCAAGTCGACTTAACTTTTCACCATATGGGGTGTGCGATAGACTTACCTCCACGTGGTGCACCCTGGGCAACGTCTACTCATACGGCATAAAAGTCTATTAACTGGCAGTTGACTTCTCACTTCAAACTACCATCACCTCACTATATGTCATATTCAACTACTTCCATAGTACTTACCTCACCTTTTTTCTACCTTTGTGTCTGTCTCTTTTATATCTTTGAAACACTCTTCTGTCCCCCCCCCCTCGACTTTTTTCAATTTGATGTACTTTCCTCTCTGTGAAGCCTGAAGTCAACTAAAGGGCTAATGATAATCATCAAGACGCCTGCCATTTGATATTATTATTACTTTTCACCATATTTGCAAGTTCAATCCAATCGATACACAATTAATATGCCTAAAATCAGCTTTGAACAAATCGTTGTGAAGAGTCATAAAGGAGAGGTGTTCTTTAATGTCAAATCACTGATTAATCAAGCAATATTTTGAAATATTCCCATCCCCGACTGTCATCTTCCTCATTGACCTGGTAGTGGTTGGAGTGGGAATCCCCTGCAACCATATTAGAAGTAGAGTGTTCATTCAGTTCCTTAATATTGCCGGTAAAGATCGGACTCTGAGAAAGAGAGAGCGAGAGTGGTTCTAGAGAGCAATACGTTAACTCTTGTCCTGAATTTGGTAATGTCATAAAATCAAGCGTTCGAAACACAAAAGGGTTTGTTAAAGCCACGGTCTCGACAAGTCAAAAGTAGTAGACACAAAAGTGGAGTGGATTTCAATTGCTGATGCTCACTCTGGGAACGCATTTATGTAAATGGTAACAAAAATTAGAAAGGAGAGTAATTTGTTAAAGCAGACTTGTTTAGGTCATCACATGAACCAGGTTTACCCGTGTATATTCGTATTGCATCAAAACTAGATAAGTCCAATATGGTTTATATTTAAAGGCGTCTGGTGAGATCAATAGCTCAATAGTCATCTTGCACTTCAGCCACGTCAGAGATTACTGGTTTGAGTCCTATCATCATACATCTAGCGAACAGAATAGTCAGCATCATTGATAAGATCTCTCTTTGATGCCCAGGAAGGCTCCATGATGTCACTTTTGCACCCAAGATTGGAGTTGGAAAATTTTTTCTTTGACGAACTCAATAAATATATACTATATTATAAGTCAGACAAATAAAGATATCAGAAAGGCACTTTATTGGTCATTCAAACTAGACTCCTTATATTTTGGTAAATTATGACTTAGGGAACAAGTGTTGAAGAACGCGAGGCCTACGCTGATTAAATAACAATAAAATAGTAGAAAATCTAAGTTATTTCACCGTATTCCGTAAATTTTTGCGGTTATTACTCATGGCAAAGGGAAGGGAAGCTTCAACCATGGAATAGCAACTAAACACGCAAAATAGCAATTTATATTTCAAGATGAAATGAGCATAAGGAGACGGACATGGCCGTATAATGAAATAAGGTTATAGTGAGTCTTATCTCCACTGAACCCACTAGGAATATCGAGTCATTAAATTTCTCCTAACAGCAATATCCAAATTTGTAGCATGACTTCTTTTCCATTATTTGTTTATTATGTTTCTGAGGGAATTGAATTCATTGGTATTCAAATATTTATTTATTTATGTTATATGGCAGGCTTTATGATAGTTATCACTAACCCTTTTGTTGACTTCGGGCTTCACAAAATGAGGGGGAGGGGGTACTGAAGAGTGATTTAAAGATGTTAGAGACAGACACACAGACAGGGAGAAAGGGTGAGGTGGTATCTGGGAGGTGGTCGAATATGACATAAAGTGGGGGTTATGGTAACTTGAAGTCAGAAGTCAAATGCCTGTCTATAGACTTTTTTGTCGTATGAGTATACGTTTGCCGAGTTGCATCACGTGGAGGTAAGTCTATCGCACATCTCATATTCAAATATACTTTTGACCAGCTAGTTTAACTGAACTGCTATTAAAGTCAATTAATGCAGAGAGAGAGCCATGAGTAAAATATTTTCAAATTTTGTAGAAGTTGGTAAAGTGGAAACATGACTTTGTCTGATAACTTTCTATTTTTTCTGTTCTAGAACAAGCAAATTAATACTTGTTTATATTTTGGCTTTTGTATGTTAACCTTTTCCTAAATTCTAAGACCAACTAAGAAGGCGGGTATAAGCGCATCTAATTTGCAGCAGGCGCAGAATATGATCATTTTGGTGAGCTGGAAAACTCAAAGACCACAACAACAAAATAAATTGCGTAATAAGCACCTTGAGTTTGACTTAAATCAACTTTGGGTTTAGGCGGGATGTGCAATAGACTTACCTCTACGTGGTGCAACCTGGGCAACGTATACTCATACGGCAAAAGAAGTCAATAAACTACCATCACCCCACTGTATGCCATATTCGACTGCTTCCACAGTACTCACCTCACCTTTGTCACTCTACCTTTGTGCCTGTCTCTTTAACATCTTTGAAACACTCTTCTGCCCCCCCCCTCGAATTTTTTTTCACTTTGATGTTCCTTCCCCTCCGTGAAGCATGAAGTCAATTAAAGGGCCAATGATAACTATCAAAAGCCTGTCATTCGATATAAATAAACTTTGGGTTTCGGTAACTCACCTGCCAACTAATGAAAAGAGGAAGATACAAGTGGATCAAAGCCGTAGGATGAATTGTTCAATTAAATCTACTGATCAAGAAGACCTGGTCATCTTGAATGTAAATTCGCCAAAAAACCCCGAGTTCAAACTATGAAAATCATATTATTGAGGATTTAAACCCAATGATTTCAAAATTCGATTAAACATTCATTGCCTCCATTAAATGCACTATTCATTTATGCAACTTCTTATCATTTCATCCCTTGCGGAAAATTTTCGATGAATGCTCCGTATTCATATAGCATATCGTGATTAAATCTTGTTAGAGTATTTTTCACCGAAATGGGCAATATTTTTATCACAACTCTGGCCAAAATTCAAAAAAACCTACTCAACCATTGGCAAAATTGGTAGAAAACACGATTGTAAGTGAGCTTTTTATCGAGATCACATGAAATTAAATTGGGAATGTGTGAAGGGACTTTATATGGCCAACTGTTACATTCTAACAAGTCAGGAGGCGTTTACGAATAAATGGCCTTTATTTATGTCACTTAAAGGACTACATTGTCCCAATTGGAGGATTTAAAAGCTTAGATAATTAAATTAAAGCGCAAAAACATTCATTTTCCTTGCTTTCAAAGATACTGCCTATTCTTGCATATTTATGAATTATTTCATAAATAAATTGACTAATTAGACATCATAGAAAAATTAATATTTTAAAATGTGAACAATTATATAGAATTTGTTATGCCAATATTAATACTGAGTTCTATTAATGCAATTATTAATATAGTATGACGAATTGACATTGAGATGTCAACCGCTTGGTGTAATCAATTGGTCATTAAGATGCAAATACTTTGAACTTTTACCCTCATAAAAAAATATGGAAAATGCTTTGGAGCATTCGGTCAGAAAAAGTAGAAATATTGCAATTAAATGCAAATAATAGAAATCAATAACTAAACAAAAAATACTATCTTATTTTGACCTTATTTTGATGGATAAAAGGCTCGAACAATTCCAATGTCTATGCACTTGCAATACATGAACTACTTTGTGAAGGCGAGGAGGAGAAATAGTCTAAGACGAGGAAGGAGGAATGGAGTAGACGATGAATGAGATTTTAATTACCTAATTATTATTGGCATTGTCGTGTGTGATATTTGAAATCAAGTTTGTAACTTCCAATTCACCAAATTAACCCAACGCGATTGCTAGGAATGCGTCTGTAGTGATAAAATAAGATAGTTCTTTTTAAATCATACTTCTCCCTCTGTACCCTTGAGTCACTGGATGCTCTAATTGGGGTGGTAATAACAACGCGCCATCTGTACGTTTTGGAATACCTGATCCCTCTTAATTCAACTCAGTTGGATGATATTGATCGTGACGTAAACCAGCTGACAGAAGCGGTCGCCATCGCGTTCATCGAACTGATGCATTGCCGCAAGTACGTTGAATCGTTCAAATTAAGTACACCAGGTCTACAAGGCTCACCAAGCCTTGGGTTTAAATACAGAGAGGTGCATTACCCTCCTGCACTTTCTGGTCCTCATTCAATAAATTCTGCTCACCTCTGACCCTTTCTTTCTATCCTTTCATCATGGTGGGATGGAGGGGAGGTCGGTTGAATACCATGGGAAAACGAGATGATTTATTTGCCAGTTATTTTCAGGGCAATTTTCTGGATAAAATCTATGTGACATAATCCAATTTATAATTCCTTCTCTAGTTGGTAACCATTAATTTATGCCATTTTCATCTACGAATATAAGGGATTCTACCGCTGACTCCAATGCAAATCAACTCTTACAATTGTTTATTTATTTCAAAT